AATACCACAGTATTTAACACTTATATTTTCAAATTCTTGAGAATTTTAAGAAATGTAAGCACAGTAAATTTATCAATTGCTTTTTAACAGGTAATTTTTCTTAGTTATGATGACCCCCCCCAAATTAAATGACTACGAGACCAATATTTCAAAAAGATTATATTAATAGTCCACTCTCACGCAGACCAATATAATTATACTCCGTCTAGTAGTATAATTTATATGAATTATTCATAAAATATCAATTTAATGAAATTATTGTTGATATAAAATGTAAAATGATCAAACGTTTGAAAGGTTGGCGAACCTCTACTGATAGTATATTATATTATATAGTATATTATAATTCATCATACTTTTATTATTATCACCATTGTCACTGCTATTATAAAATGTGGTTTTAATTATTGTTGTATATTAAATAATAATTTAAAATATATATACAAAAAGTGAATAATACGATAATAATGTTTAAGTATTACCTTATACAATATGTATAATAAGAAGAAAAGGTGACAAGGTGTTCCTGGGTGTGTATTTATTCCCTATGAAAACCAAAATCATCATAATTTACCAAGTTTATAGAATTTAAGTAAATGTATGCAAATTTTTTGGTAAAATATCAAAAAAATATTTACATACAATTTACGTTTTTAGATCTTTTATATTTACCACTTAAAGAGTGGCCTGCTAAAATACAAACTTTGATTTAAAGTCATATAAGTATAGAACGCTTCTTAACTACTATGAGCCATTCCAAGAATTTGAATATATCGTCTCTAAGTGAATTTAAAAAAAAAAAAAAAAACTTAAATTGAATAAATTATTTCTAAGAGATAGTGAAGAGTACCTTTGAGCATGCTTAGTGGCTGGTTAAATTACCTCGTATAACAACTATGCGGGTATAGTCTAAAGTACAACACGTTCAATGCCACACCAATATTTCTAATCTGGTGCCACACGCCGCGTATCTCCTGATATTATCATACAGGGGATTATAAAATATATAGGTATATGAAAAAACGTGGGATACAGAAACCTACTACCGTCTGAAAATAATTTTTTGTTAATATGTTCTAAATGGCCGTGATAAATAATAATACAGTCCTCTATGGCCGAGTTATTATAGGCGTTTATTTTCAATAATATGCACTAGTGACGACCACGGATCGGCGGTGACCCCATTCTACCACCGTCGACCTGTGTTCGACAGCGGCGGTGAATGTGTAAGAATTTTATATTAATTTATTGTGTGAGAAATTTTCGTCTAGCCACTAATTAAATACGAATTAGTTTTGATAAAAATCTATCGGAATCAAGTGCAAGTGTAAATATTTCGGTTCAAGCGTTGCGTTCGATTTCGCGTTTGAAAATGTCGTTTTGGCGATGATTTTTTCGTACGAGTAATATAATTTACATAGACGTTATTGTACTTATTTGATATTATAACATACAAATATGTTTATAATGTTATGTATTATGTATTTTGTATAATGTGAGCTAATATATTGGTTTAATTAGTTGTTGAAAACGTTATAAGGTATTGTCATCTATAGTTTTTAATGTTTAATATACACGAATTTTAATAAAACATAATATTATTTTGTATAGTTATTATATTAACAGGCTTTTGAAAAAATAATGTTTATCGGTGAATCATTTTCCCTCAACGTTTTTTTTATCGATTTCGGTATATAACATTAGTATCATGATAAATTATCATTATTATCATTGATAATATTATTATTCATATCAGTCTCCGTTCTGTGCGTTTCTAGGTTTCGGTGAACACGACGTAATATTATAATAATATTATTGCTTTCGCATTACAATTAAATTGTTTATTGCTCATTGGCATAATAATTATTGCTATCATTTTTAGCGAATTTTTTCGTTATCGAACAACTATAATTTTGTACCGGTTGAATTATAAAATTATCATAAATAATATTATCATTTTTGTGGACGTTTGGAATGAGATTAATTTATTTTACTAAAAAACCACGAGCTGGTTATTGCCATAGAGGTGCCTACCCGGCCCTGGCGTACCATCATGATAATCTAATAATTATATAATAATAATAATAGTATTATTCTTTGATCGACAGTTTATTTTGAAAACGGGATGAAAAAATGCCCTGCTCTCAACGTCCACCGAGCATTAGTGCAATCATTGTCACGCGATTGACATATCGCTCAACACAATAATTATAATAATATAATTTGTTAATAATTATTATTCCGATTTAGTGTATAATAATAATAATAGTAAATATCATATTATTATTAAAACGTAGTCTATTCCTATTTCCTATGCGTATGAGAATCTGTGAAAAACCCTGCAGGCGTTAGATTCATCCTGTCTATAGACTTATATCATAATATAGATGAAGAGAATATTCTATCGTACGTAGTACATTAAAATTTAATAATAATAATTGCGTTAACACTACTAAATATCGTATAATATAATATATATATATATATGTATGTATATATAAATCTTACGGAATTTGTATTTCTTTGAGCTCTTATCACCATCACTAAATCTAAGTGTACAATATAAATTACTTAATCGCATGTAAGTAGTTTTTTACATAATATAATATTATATGGGTGTGTCGGTATATAAATCTGCAGCCCAATATAGACGGTAACCGAAGAATTCAGTCTGCGCCCAGCAGCACCAGATCGTCGGCGACCACGTCGCTAATGTGCAAATATATGATCCAGTACATGAGGTTAAAGCAAATGAAACACACTGGGAACACGATCCTCGAGTACTTGTCGATGTCACTGGGCGTGATGCCGTACAGCTTGTTAATGTCCTTGTTTGGGTGCATGACATGCTGCGTGGGAATGGGAGTGATGTTGTCGTCATCCCCGCGGCCATTGATGGTGTTCTCCAGCGAACCGCCTTTAAGGTAGTTTTTTGGATCGTGGGCCTTGAATCGCACCTCCTGGAACAAACGGGAATCACTTACAAGGGGCACTGCAATATATGTATTAATCGGGGACTAATAATATTTAAAAATATAATCTTAATTTCTACAACTGTTGTAAATTTTTTCAATTTTAACTATTAGAAAAATTGAATTTCAAACCAATACTAACGGCAAAATTAATAATTAGCTATAGCTTCTATTTTTAATCTTTGAATCGTAGATGAAAAATCCTGAAGAGTTTCAAAAACTAGGAGTTTTCTATTTTWTTTCGAGCCCTTCAATTACGAAATATTAAGCGAGTAAATATTTGCGACGCTTACGGTTTGTCGGGGTATGTGATCCAAGTCTCCAACCATCAATGATCCAGACAACGTTCCCCCGTGGCCCATATTACTGTGCCGGTGACCGCCTCCGCCGCCGTCGTAACCATGACTGGACATAGTGCCGTGCGACGCCAGTCCGTGGCTGGACATACCGTGAGGGAGAGTACCGTGGCCGGACTGGGGCCCGTGGCCACCTGACAAAGTGCCGTGTCCCGACAGGGTACTGTGGCCGGATATAGATCCATGGCCGTGACCGTGCCGTGACGAGTGGTGAGGATGTGCGTGCGAACGCCCATCGTGGGCAGAGTGACTACCGACGCCGCCTCCTCCACCACCGCCTTTTTTCTGTTCGGCAATCTTTTGTATGGCCAAGAAACGGTTTTTTCGCATTTGTATCCTTTTGGCCATGTACCCCACAGTGGCGTATTCTGCAAAAACCGACGGCAACCGTTTCCGATTTAAGCTTGGATTTAATAATAATAATAAAATAACAACAATAGAATTCGTTTGTTGTAAACACAAAATCTTATGGCAGAGCAGTTTTAAAATTTACTATTCTTTAGCATAGATAATATGTTTATGGGCTGGTTACAAAAAAAGTTTCCGGTTGCCATAGAAACCAAACAATGACATTCAAATTATGTATATCGATTTATCATATCAATTTAACGTTATTCGATGATGTCCATTACAAAATAATACTTGTATGTGAAAAATGAATTTTTTTTATTCCTATAATAGTTATATATGTATCAATAGGTACACAACATTTTTATGGACGTACTATAATTATTATAGAAATGTTAGAAATCATTTTAAAGCAATTTAAGTACGATATTATCACGATTAGATATGGATCATAAAATATATAAACTTAGAGCAAATACATAAATTATGAACAAAATAATAGCCAAACCGGACGTAAATGAATATATTATTTCTTGCGTTATCGTATAACACAATAAAATTAATTTGCCCACTGAATGATAAGACACAGATTGTTAGTGCACTATCCTGTCAATGCACTAACCGGGTGCAACCGAAATAATTTTGTTAGGTGACGCGTCAATTGATTACCTATAGTAAAATATCCTCTGTAMGGACGATAATTAATAATTATTAACTGCCTTGGTCAGTAGCGATTATTATTTTGCTGAAATCTCATACCTTCTGACAGAATTTCRAGTGATAAATAACCGGTAGCGACAATTGGTGTGTCGGTGGAGGGAATGGGTATTAGTTTTAGGTGTATACAATGTTATGCGGGCTTTGATGTATCAAACTTATTTCACTCCAGGCCGTTAATTGGAYGAACATTTTTACTTCAACATCAAAGGCAAATAACAGTATGGTGTCCATGACGAAGTCTGACACAGACGTGTTTTTGAAATGGTTACAATACTGTAATGACCCGATGGAAAAGTTTATCCACCTTGCAAGCTGTTGTAATAATGGCTCGACGTAATCAACGAAAATAATTTTTTTTTTTGTCTCCGGTCGATAAAAATTATTTTATGAAATTAACGCCAAATGAAAATGTATTTACAATATTAACAATCGAAATAGGTATAATAAATTAGGAAATGACAATTCATGATGCAGAAAAAAAAATACAATAATATTATTTTACTTTAAAGTACCAAACATCAAACTTTAGAAAATAACACATGGACAATATAACAATATTATTATAAACAGGAATTTTCACCCAAATAATTTAATCGAATTTTAGATTTCGGGTACTTAATGTAATCAATATAAAAAATATTTGGGAGATAAAAACCACAATAACTCAGGTTAACGAACACAAGTGTTTAGTCTTAAGCACAGACCAATTTAGAGAGATCAGATACAATACGTAAGTAGGTATAAACCATAAAAAATATATTTTTTGGATATCATCAAAACAACTAAGACCTGCACTCCCCCGTCAAATATTGATTTTATTTGCATAATATATAATATATGATATGTTATAATATTTAGCTACAATTATTCGAATCATTATCTATAGTATACTCATATAATTATTGTTAAAATTGTCAAACACAATATTAATTATATTATTWTAATTTAGTTACTCACCCAGAAGTGAGGCGAACACCATGACGAAACACGTGCCCAGGTACACATCAATGGACTTGACGTACGATATCTTCGGTAACGCCGCGTTGGTGGACGACATGAGCGTGGTCATGGTCAGCACAGTGGTGACGCCCAACGAGACACGGGCCGGCGTTGCGCATCTGTTCAGCCAAAAGCTCACCCACGATATGATGACGATCAGCCCACTGGGTATGTATATTTGGATCAGATAGTAGCCCATGGACCGTACGAATTGGATCTCACAAGCCAGTCTCGAATAGTTGCCTGCAACGTTTGACAGTTGTTGTTAATATATTATAGGGCGCAACCGATTGAAGCCAAAATGAACCTTCCCCTTTTTGGTCATAAGTGTAAGATTTAAATAATTATGAAAACCTGAAAATTTAATATTACCTATTTTTATTTTTTTGTTTGTATTCAACTAGTTTGGCACAAGGATATGTGACCACCCTTATTACGAGTAGGCCATTTTCCCTTGTTAAGTTAATTTATTATATTGTAAACCAATACAATTGTTTTAAAATTATATTAATAAATGGGTAAAATCTTATAAATTCATAAGGCTTCTAATTTAAAAAAAATATATATATGATATATAAAGTTAATTGAAATTTTAAATTTTCAAACACTAGCAATTAACTATACAACGAATTATTTGTATGTATTTAGCCAATAGAAGACTTCATTTATACGCTGCATCGCGAACACAAGCCAAAACTCTAAAAAAGTAACTTTCGAATCTATAACAACAAATATACRAAAATTATAATCGTATCGTAAATGTATGCTTCTTCAACGGAGGGTATAACACAATAATATTTTAATGGACAATTTATTAATAGGTACTTAAATCTTAAATTGGTTACAAAAATATTTAACTGATTAGAAAATTTTATTAGAGAATGGCCGAAAAGAGTCCCACTATAACAAGATATTTTAATTTTTTTATTATTATTATTATTATCATTACTCTTATAGATAATTAATCAATCGTCGTACCCGTCGTCAAGCTTATCTCCATCGCTCGCTGACGGTGCCCTAGCACTTTGAATTGTGGCAATGACACTTCGTTTGAGACTCCCACCGAGTTTGGTCCCTTGTTCCATTTATACCTGATGTCCCTCATCGTGTATCCGACTGAAAATAAACGAATAAAGAAAATCACTAATCAGACGAAATCAAAAATTTATTATTGTAWTATACGTTTTTAAAATATTTATATGYTTTTATTGATTCTAAGACCATTGTCGTTCGTTKTAGCAGCCATATTATATTATCATATAACAGYAATAATAACACGTTGATTAAAGTTTTAAGTCAACGCTGTTTATTACTTTCGACAATTATTACTTGCTATAATAATATGATATAATATGCATGAAATAATAACGATGACGGTTGTAAAAAAAGTATATCTTACAGCTTTCAATTTCGATGTGACACAATTGTCGGTCCATTGGGAAGTACTGCAAGTTCATGGGGCACGACGCGGTGATGGTCAAGCTGTGGAAAACAAAACAAAAGAATTAAAAAATYTATGGTTAACGGTAYGCTCTATAAAAACGTAATAATAAAAAATATTATATGCACCTATATCACTGTGATTTACCTGTAAGAAGCTATAGCATTATATTGTTCATCGTGTGTGTGGTTATTTGMGGAAACAACTTTTTATACTTATATTCACCTAACATAYTCATTCATTTTRTATTTTAATATTGMATTTTTTCAATTTATTATTCCTGGACTTGATGAGAAATATTATCATCATCGAATATTTCGATTTTTTATACTGTAATAAATCATAGTACTATAGTAGGGATATTAACGAGTATACTGACAAGACATTAGTGGTTTAAGTGGAAGTGATGCTTCGTTTAGTAATAATTTACAATCCCTCTCGGATTAACATTGTTCTACAAGCGGTATTGACTTCCCCCCCCCTCCCGAGTGTGGAGTGTCTGTTAGCCACCAGGTATTATAATTATAATATAGTCTTAACGTTTACCGAATGCTCCGCGTTATGCTCCCCGAATGGTGTATCCGGATGAATTCATTGCTGGTGGTCGCTATGTGAAAGTACGACTGTTTCTCGTTGACGAAGAACGTGTCGGGCACCCAAATGTTCTTGATGAACTCCGATCCCACGGACAGTGTCTCAACGCCTGGCCGCTTGGTGAAYGCCAACCGAGGATCGGTCCAGAATTGTCTGAAGTAAAAGTCAAGCGTGAAGTCCTGAAAAATTCGCGTACAACGACAAYGACAGTTAGTACTCGGTAGGTATATGCGTATGATCTATTGTATACGCRTATTGGTATATTATAATGATAATATAATATATTACTATGATTGCAGTCTTGTAAAAGGTACACTTCAAAACAATTTTAGTACGATTTATACRGATACTTGTTTTAAAAATACTATTAATAGATACTTTCAAATACTTTAAAATTGTCTACTTATTATAATTTGCTGTAGGTATTTTACTGAAAATTTTTTTTAGCATTTTCATGTTTTACATCAAATTTATGCATAATTGTACGTAAGCTTTTATGTTACGTAATTGAATTGAAAATATAAAAATATTACTAAAATTACAAATTATTTAAAACTTAGTTTATTTTACAAATTTGAAAGTACTTTTTTCAAAAGTATTTGAAGACTATTACTCAGATACCTGCTTTACAAGACTGAGTTTATAAAATTGTCTATAAACTACGATCTACGATCGTCTAAGACATTGTTCGGACAGACCGGATACGATCAAACGTCCCAAGTGATCGCGTAAGGTTTTAGAACAGCTGATTGGCAAATAAATTAACTACCGGGACTTCGAAAATTTGGAATCACGTCTACACGTCACTAACATTGAAGCTTAAGAGGACGCTAAACTAGCCTTTGTTGCACCTCTGTGTTTATAGTAGAATTTCCAAATTTCCATAACACAGAGAATAATTTCATCTGTCACATAGCGTTTTTATTATGTACAYAACATTTATACAACTAGGTACGGTTATTATTTTGAGAACATTAAGTTTTTTTTTTGTATTTTTTGTTTTTAATTTWAAAAAAATGTTGGTTAATGCTATCAACAAAATAAAAACGCTACGACATAGATATAGCTCTTTCCTATGCGTTGTAGAACTTKAGTGATTCCACTAAAGAGAGAATATTATAGTTATCTCACGTAAAACAATTTTTGCTATGTTGTATATTTGTGAGATGGAGACAACACATGCAGGTATAGCAGCATCCTCTTAATAATATGTTTTCCTCCGGACCAATAGTCTTAGTGGTCAACTCGAAAGTGTCAGCGAGTTCTCAGAATCACAATACATTGAATGATCGTCATTGAACTTGCACAGTCGGTGTGTACTCGTGGTACATTAGTTCTCCGTGTTGGCATAAGTTTTTTTTAATTTGTGACCGTTCGAAGCGGATTCGAGGGAAAATAAAATTCTCTCAAAGTCAAATCATACGCAGAAARTTCACTAAGACGTTCGAATGTATCCGATCGTGAAGATATAGTAGGTATTTATAATTACTATAATATTAATATATGAATATATTATTTATCATAGATCGCAATGATAAAGATGTRTAACTAATATTTCCGTTCGTAATATTATATTATGGTTATGTTATATAAATATACAAATATTACTGCGATATATAACTATAATAATAATAATAATAATAATAATAATAATAATATTAATAATAGTAATAATAATAATAATGATAACAATGATAATAATGTAAAATACAAGTAGAATAGATGGTTAGTGCATGCAACAGGGCTAAGATTTAAAACGTACACGCTAAGGTYTTTCGTTAGATACATCGTATATYATTATGCATAGGCATGTATGTATGCATGGTGATTCTCTCGTCGTATCCAAATCTTAGCATGCACAAGGATTTTTTTTAATCAATCGTTTGTTAATGTCAAACTTTAAGGATAGGTACAAAGCTTAGATCATATACTATGGATGGAGCCATGGCCTGATATTTGAAACACATATAAGCGACAAGTCTCTCCTTGAGATTCATTATCTGCGCATGCGCGATTATACTCGTAGCGTCGTAGCATATTTATTCTAATGTTTTTAATTCTCCCAGGGAACTCATGAGTGATAACTAAATAAATATGCGACGAGTAGACTCGCCGCATACGCAGATAGCGAATCTCAAGGAGAGACTCATCGCTAATATGTGCTTCAAATTGTTTACACAGGCGAGATAGGCCATGGCTCCATCCATAGTATATAATCTAAGGTACAAAGTAATACTGTTCAACATGTTTCTTCGTTGATAAGTATTATTATTTTGTCCCTAAAGTGTAAACTCTAAAAAATGTCCACGTATTATAATATATTCTAAGATGTAAAAAATACAAAAGAATCACCTTGTTTATAATAATATTGTGTTATTATTATTCACAATTTTCAGATTGAATCAGTTTTTTTTTCGACATCATGCTTTGACGCGAAAAACCATGGCGTGTATCAATTGCAATCTACGTCATGCATCAAAACATGCGATATCATCATATTTAATAATATACATATGTAGTTTTACTGTGTATCGTTATATTGTCTGCTATTTGACATAAATTAAACAAATTGCATAATATTATAGTATCAAATTTAATATATAACAAATGAAGTTGTACTATAATGTAACTAGGTAGTATTGAGGATATAATCGACGTGATAACAATTTTTAAAATTCCCTTATTCACAATAAGCAAAYAACGCTTTTTATTCCACTTATTAAAAATACAAAATGATCCTCAAAATTTRCTTGGGAAACTAGAAAATACACTATACACTATTATGTAATCAAGTATATAGATATTATGATAAATAAAACATAAAAATTCARGGTAACAGCTATGCTATCTGTAATGTCGTGTTGTGGCCAAAATATGAGTTTGGCACAACTCTTGACATTTTTCGGCAGATAATGGTCATTGGACGAAGCTATGATTATAAAGACTTATCGAAATGTGATAAACGGTAGATACGAAAGAAGACACAACCCAGCTTAATACAACATAATATAGATACGCGCACATATTATACCCGATTTCGTTAGGTATATAAAATATTACATATTCTGTTATTGGTCAAATCAATATACGCGACGTTGTCGTTCATTTTAAATTTTTAAATACAAGTCTATCAACTGCGTTGAATATCATTTACATCAATCTAAAATGTTTATCCGAATTCAGATTTGACGCCATATAACGTGTATAGACAATTCAGTGCGTGTCGCGTCCCGTGATATTAAAAACTAAAACCATATTGTACCTACATACAACAAAGTGTATGCCCTTTTTTAATYATGCGAATCAAATAATATTGACGAAAACAATATAAAAATTGTTTTTTAACACGAGATGGTCACAGCTTTTTGTCGTTTCCCTTTTCATCGGATTTTAAAGTGGACCAATAAGTATTTATATTGATTTTGATAAACATGTTTTAGACATAGTTTATGGAATATCTTAAAAACCACCGTATTTCGGTATTTAATGTAAACGTTTTGTACATTTGAATCGAAGTCGTTATTATGGTGACAATAACAAAAGTAAAATAAAAATCCAAAAATCCAAAAATAKTTGTGTTCGGTCATATTTTATAATATTATAATATGTAATGATTGAAAAATTATTTTCTATGTTAGTAATAAATGTGACTAACCTATATAMAAGGCTGGGCATTAACGAGTTTAAGTTAAGTTTAACAATCAAAATACTTTAAAGTTTTAAGAAAGTTACGTATGTAATGAGTTTAATTTAAAAAAAAATAATTTATGGACTAACGAGTTATTTTTTCCCACATAAAATGCAATTACTTATCATTTTTAATTAATTTTATTGTTTCGTTAAGTTAATTTTTTTCTTCACATATGAACATCATATATTAAAAATATATTATGTTTAGTAAAAATCTTGGTATTTTYTAAAAAGAATGAAAATGAATTATCATCAATAATTATTGTAATCCATATGAAAATACGATCTCACCCATAAGTCAATAATGAGACTACTAGATATCTGATCAGTTCTTCATCTGATGTAAARTTCGTGTGGTTATCTCTTAGAAAATTAATTTAAATAATACAATCAATGAATACAATTATTATTAGAATGATCTATCATTAAATGCGTTCTTTTATTATTATTTTATATTATATACTTTTGCTTTTTTCTATAATATTCATTGCTTTGACATTGATTTCAATTAATTCAGATAAAGTATAACAGATTTAAACATAACTAAGTTAAATAATTTTGAAGTGAAACTTCTTTAGGTGTGATAGTATAATAGTTGAATTCATAGGCTTAGCCAATGTGRCCAAAAAGCATAACGGGCATGGCGAATTTTGGTCATCTACCCTAAGGTTTGTATGGTAATAAATAATAATCAATTTGTCTTAGTTTTGTGTAATAATAATAAATTAATCTCAACTGAAAATTTATTTTTCTATTATTAACTTAATATTTGACCGTGATAAACTTTTTTCTTTACATACTCTATGAAGAAGTTTAATCTCATCCACGGGTACCATTGCAACACGTCAGATTTTTGTTCTATCTAGCTCATAGCTTTTGTTAGTTAAAATCAAAAGATATAACTTTTATAGATTTAAAATGAACTTACAATTTTTCTACCCAAACTCAAATTTATTGAGTACCTAAATAAAATTGGTTAACTTGTCTAGCCTTGCAAATACATAAGTAGGTACTTAACATGTATGGCTTATAGTATTAGGCTGCTTGAGATTTTYACTTGTTGAAGGCAACGTCGTTTATGAACTCACGCAATGTATAAAAAGAAGTTTCGCGTGAAACCAACATAAAACGTAAATATATAATAATATACAAACGAAAAGCCGGTGTACGTTACACGCGCATTATATAGAACAACTCGAGTGAAGGGTGTCWGTGTTTTTTGACACTCGGTCGTTTGTGTATAAACATGACCTTGAATCGGGGGTTAAGAGCGGAGGAAAAATATTAATAACGGAAAGAAACATCATTCACGAACGTCTCTTTATATGTATATATTATATATATATA